CCAGCTGTGTTATTGGTCCGCGCGCTGTCGGGTTTAAATGCATAAACTATAAACCTATCTATTACAAACCTATCCTTAAGGATAAATCTGCTCTGCTGGGGAAATCACAAGAGCAAAAGAGATTCTTGCAGCCCGGCTTTAAGAAACAAAAACAAAAAAAAAACAACGATTTTTTTAATTTTTTCTTTCCCTAGAAACATAAACAAGCAAGCTTAGCCTGGCGGCGGGGCTAGTAAAGCATGGCGGGCTGCCAGGCTTATAATACACTGGGGGAAACCCTGAGGCTGTAGTCAGTTGTGGATGCTTCACCTGACTGACAGATGAATGATTTAGGTGAGATACTGTGAATGTGTCAGAATTTGAGTTAAGAAGTTACAACATTTAATTTTCCTTTGGTAGCAATAAAGTATTTTTGAATTTTATGACTATTAAAATACTCACATCCTGGCAGTTTGTAAAAAGGCTGGTGGTTACCTGTGGTATTCATGGGGGACCACATCTGCCTTCAAATAACTGAAATCTGCCAAAGTTGTGAAGTCTCCACACTAAACACTTATTTTCAAACTCCAAATATCATTTAGTATGGATAAATACACACATCTAAACAGTCATCCCCCTACCAGTTTCTTTCAAACTCCTCTCCTTATCATTTCTGTTGATATTCCTTGTATGAAATGCTGAATAAACATTCATGCTGTTTCCGCACACCATCTCTGATGTCAGCTGTTTGGGATTCCCCTCCTTGCTTATGTCACCATGCTTTCTGATTCAACAGGTTGCGTTCTCGCTCCCAGTCAGGGAAAACTCCACACGCTGCGTTAGTCGAGCCAAGACAATCCAACTTGTTGAATATGCCCGGTTTTAGATTGGACCGGTTGCAAGCGAGTCAACAATCTTAGAACATTACGAGTTCTAAGATTGACGACTTAAGGGGAAAATTGATGACTTTTTACAGGACAAATAATGTAAAATCATAAACTGTAGTGTGACAGAAAATATTGTCAGCTACTCTGATTATAATCCATCCAAAAATGCTGTGATCTGGAGCCTGTTCCATTACTTGCGATTGGAGTGAAACCTGTCACTGCTAGGGAGGTTTTCTTATTCATGAATATAATTAATGAAAATGAAGACGTTTGTGTTCCTGTGCTAGTCTTGCATGCCGACATTGTTTCTTTCTGCAGCACATAGACAAGGTGTTCAAACACAAGGAGCTGCAGCAGCAGCTAATGGATGCCAAGCTGCAAAGAATCACTGAGATGATGAAAGAAGTGGAGGAGAAGCAGCAGCGGGAGAGAGAGTTTGTAAGATAATTTCTTTTTTTTAATTGTCTGTCTGATATGCGTGTGCTCATCAGAACACCTTGGCAGATTATTCATCAGAATATTGTGGCCAAAACGCACCATATCCGTTTTTGCATCCGATCCACAGAAAATTGGGTTGAAAGGTATAAGCAGTAAATAGAACACATTGAAGTCAACAGGGCCTGGCTGACGGCTAGTGATTCTTGTAACTGACCAAGTTGGATCTGGAGTCAATACGTGAACAGAGCTACACAATAGAAGAGGTGTTTTTCCACTGGCAAATCGCGCTCTAACCAGTTAATGTGTGGCTCAGTTCAACCTCAGACTCAAGTCGGAGTTGGCATGTCAAAAAAAAAAAGGGATTAAAGCTTTAAGAGTCGGATGCGAGCGGCGTGCTTTGGCCTTTAGAATAGTGGTTCTGATGTTTAATACTGATGAGTTTTACACAGTTTTCTTTTTTTAAGTACAGTGATCCCTCATTTTTCACGGGGGTTGCGTTCCGAAAATAACTCGCGATAAGTGAAATCCGTGAAGTAGTTACCTTTAGTTTTTACAATTATACAGCATTTAAATACTCTACATTGAAACCAAAGAACAAAACTTGTTTTCAGGTCAGCGGATGTGCGTGTGCATCAATCGGGCCTTAATGTGATCTGGAGTCATGTCATTAAAGCGTCTCCTCCAAGCTGCTTTGCGAGATTCACAGCTGTATCTACGGCAGAGCGATGGATCTCATTGAGCCTCCGGTCGGTTTTGCGCTGCCTCTGGCCACAGATTTTTCCAGCAGGCATTCAAGGTTTTCAGCTTTCATCTCCTGAATGGCCAATCTGTATTACTTATATTTAAATACCGTAACGTTATTGGCACACAGGTAGAGAAGGAGTTCGGAGACTGTTTAGCCAATCAGGACGCAGAAGACAATGTACTGTGAAAAAAAAAATCAGTGAAGCAGCGAGACCGCGAAAGGTGAACCGCGTTATAGCGAGGGATGGCTGTACACTCTAAAAAGCTGTGTGACACAAGTGAGTTTCAGTTCTAGTCCCCCTCAGGCTGCTAACCCACACTCAAATGGGCAGTATTATGTATTTTCCAGGCACATAGTGCCGTTTTATATGACAGTCAAGTAACCGTTTCCTTCAGTTGTTATAAATATGCTGTATATATCAATAGTCCAATCCAAGCATGACTGCCTGTACAGGACTATTGATATATACAGCATATTTGACCACTCTAGGTTAGTAGTCACCCCTCTACACCAGGATGAGATGGCTCTTTGCTGCTACTTTCTTCTTTCTCCATGGTAGCTCTTCGTTCTGAACACTGGGGAGGTTGAAGAACTCTGTGAACTTTGTAGCAGCATCAGCCGTGTAGAATGGAACATAAGTACCCAAACTGTTAGCAAGACTACAGAGGTAAAATTAAGTGTTGAAGCCTAGTTCAGGGTTAAACACCTGTCTGTTGTGGCGTTTCAGCTGCTGAAGGACGCCACAGAGTCCAGGCGCAAATGTGAGCTGATGAAAGAGCAAGAATCTCAGCTGAAACAACAGGTGAGCTGGTCCAATCAGGATGGATGCTTCTACATGGTTTTTATCTCATCTGCCTTTGACTGTATAACACAATGCAACACAATGTGCTGTAATAAGGTAAACGTAGTGTTGTACACATGGGTTCTGGAATAATGTTGTCTCCTCTCAGCTCTCCCTGTACATGGACAAGTTTGAAGAGTTTCAAAGCACTTTGGCTAAAAGTAATGAAGTCTTCACCACCTTCAGACAAGAAATGGAGAAGGTGAGCTTTGGATCTTCACCTCTTTGTGTCTTATAGGTTAGACAGCATCCTCAGGTCTACAACTTTGACATCATTTAACTAGAGAAGAACATTCTGTCTCACAGCTGTGACCTCTCTAAAGAGTTCACAGCAAAATTGAAACCCATTCAGAGAAGTTCCATCAAGTCTCAGATGGAACCAGAGACTTGAGTTCAAAAAGTAAGTCAGACTCAAATTAGACTTGTGTCCTGAAGACTTGATGCTTGACTTGGAAAGATCATGATGCCTTCCCAGAGAGCTCCCATGTCTGCCTGGAGATTCCTGCTAGGAGTCGCTGCTTCAGAATGATTCATTCAGCTTTTTAGAGCCACTCTGAGCGCCAAGACAACATACATTTTGATCTTATTGAGGAGGTGTGGAGGAGAAGGAGTTGCGTGCACAAAGATCAGAAAAAGTCATTCCATAAAACTCGGGCAACCAAAACAGTTTCTGTGGTGCTCATTAAAAACTCAATAGACACGAAATGGAAGAGTTACTAAAGTCACATAAATTAAATCTCCTCGTTTGTCCCTCTGTGTGCAGCAGAGATTCACAGTGCAGTGGATTTAGCTCATCATCCAGGGCCAGACCAAGGTTGTATGAGGCCTTGAGCAGAATTTGACTTAAGGGCCCCTCTTGCTGCTAATAACATCAGCACCACCAACAGTATTTCACCATGAACTTTGGGAAATCTGGAAGAGAGGGCCTTGTTTAATTGGCCAACTTTAAAAGTCATCAGTTATAATTTTAATTTACCTAGAAGTATTTGTGAACAAATAGAGCTCAAAAGATTAAACTCATAGCAGCATCAGATTTTAGCTGTGGTAACGAAACAATCTAACTATGAAGATTGTTCTTTGAACTCTTACAAAATAAACTTGCCAGCTCCTTAAAATATTAAGTGTATATGTTAATTTAAAATATTTTAATTTATTTATGCTGGAACCATTAAATCAAATTTAACAGCATTGATATTCTCATTAAACAAATGTTACATTTATACATCTGTGATTTGTATTAAAATGTTAGCATTTATGGGGACCCTGAAGCCCTGGGGGGCCTTATGGAGTCACTGACTTTATTTGGATTTAACAGAAGTGCAAATAATTGATATTTTAATTGTTTTTTATGATTTGTTGTTTTTATGACGCCATAGTTGCGGGTTTAAGTACTGTCAGCAAAATGTTCTAGTAACATAATTATCCAGTAATATTTTTACTAGAGGTGTGATGATCGATCGGCCACCAATCATAATCGGCTGATTTCCGTGAAAAAGTGTATGATCGGTGCTCACCAATCACTGACTCGTGTTGCCGATCACCAAAACCGATTACATTTATCTTGCTTTGCAGCCTGCATGTGCAGCTTATCTCCTCTTTCCTTCACATTGCACAAGTGCACAGCAACAAATCCTGTCATGTGGAATTATAACGCTCTTGAGAGTGAATGGGGAAGTTTGAGTGTTGCGGTGGAAAATTACCTCGGGGGGTGAAGCAGGTCAAAATGCATCAACACAACCAAGCTAACATGGCATTTAAAAAACAAGCACTTGATGGGAGTATGGCCATCTCGAGGTTCACTGCAGGAAAAAAAGCTCATCCAGAGCAGCCAGACAGCAGGTAAAGCAGCACACAACTACCAACACTCACCCGGATTAGTATCACAATCGGAAAGCTAAACAAATAACCTGAAAAGTAAGTCAAGTCTTCGAGCTAGCGGTGTAAGACACTGGTTCTGTTCTCGCTCTTGGACCGCCGCTACTAGTAGTAATATATTCCACCAGACAGTGAACTCTCACACCGAACATCTGCTTAAAGCTGCAGCATGTAACTAAAAAAAAAAA